TATCAAATATTACCTTATTTAACATTCTTTACTAATAATTTTTACAACCTTAACTATACTCCTTTTGTTGATAAATTTTCTATTGAAATTCCTATTTAATGCTTTATTTGAACTATATGCCAAGCCTACATTATAACACTTTGGACATTTTAACATCACTTCCAACAATTGTCTACTATTGCATTTAACATTAACTGGGAAACTATATAGCTTTATATCAACAACAATCAAAAAATTTCTAATTTTGTTTACAGCTTTTATTCATCTACTCTAAAATCTTTTCAAGTTAAAATATTACAGATAAACTTCCTGTTTCTCATACTCTTCATAAACATAATTCTTCATTTTCTTCCTTTTGTTATTAATGCAACCAAATTAGTTCTTCACTCTGTTAGGTTATCTGCCCATCAACTCAAACAATTTATTACTTAATTTCTAATTCTCTTAATAGTATTTTAAATACAACTACTCTTGATATGTCTGTCAATCTTGTTTCTAATTTAAATACTAAAATTCTCATACTTAAAAGTTTCAAATTGTATAACTCTTTACATATATCTTTACTTATTTCTACTCTATCTGGTTTAGTTTCTATCGATCTTATTTCTACTATTCACAATGCTTCTATTTCTTACTGCATTGCTACTACTCTTTTTATTAAACTTTTTCTTCACTTAAACCAACAAATATACAAACAAATATGGATTCTATACTGCATTTTACATTCTGTACAGTCTCAAACTACACTTTCTACTAACTCAACTCATAGTTATTCTTCTAGTCTACCTTCACCTTCTATTTCAATATTACAAATTATTACTAAAATTAATCTTTGGACTATCTAATGGATTAAATACCATATCTCTCTTTCTTATATTATTATTCAAACCAAAATTTAGATGAGCTTTGGCCACTCTTGTAGGTTAAGGTCACATATTATATGTCTAAGTTTTTATTTTTTATATATAATTTAAAAGCAAGCTTTGCTTTGTAAAAACTTCAATTGAATTTCAATAAAGTTAAAGACATAGCCTTACTGTTAATATTTAAAAAAAGAAAATAATAAATAACTAATCATATATGGATTTTATTTCTTCTGCATTGAGCATTCCATGCAATTTTATAAAATCAAATACTATTATTATCTTTTTATTTTTTTTTTTTTTATTACAAATTTTAAAATGACTGTTGTTATAACAGGCCATAACTTATTAATGCTATGCTATGCTAAATTTGGATGACAAGACCAATAATAAACTTTTATAACTGTTATCATAACAGGCTATCTATTCACAAACTTGAAAATAAACCAATTAATATTTTCTAATAGTTACAGATAAGGTGGAAGAGATCAATAAAACTAGACTAAAAAGTTGGATTTGCAAAAGAAATAGAGTTACCTATAACTCTATTTATTACAATACTTAAATACTAAAATTAAATAAACTCAAATATGTCAATATTATTACTCTAATTTACTAATTACAATAATTATTTTATAATTATACTGATCAAATACTAAACACAATTATTATTGCATAATTATTAAACTAATTTATTACTAATATGATCAATATATTAAGTCATGTCATTTATATAACTGTAATATGGCATGTCACATGCCTTGTTACAGATTGATTTGAAACAAAAGCTGCCTCAATACTATTATATCAAGTGCTATATTGTTTTGTTTCTTATATATTTGTTATAAACAACTAAACACATATAGGTATTTTTAAAATATTGTTTTTTGACTTCAGTACTCTTGCATTTCATTCTTAATCATTATTATTCTTTATTTTTTAAATACTTTTAGAACTTGAACCTATACCTTACTTATCTTTCTCTTTTATCTTTTTTTTTTTTTTTTTTTTTTTTTTTTTAGAACCATTAACATACTAATTACATTTACAAACAAGTTAAAATTTTATAATACTAAATGCATCTAATCTGCTGTACTTATTGCTCTAATATACAACCTAGACCCAATCATCAAAAAATTAAATTTGTTCTTTAAAAAGATTCTCTTTTATTGCTACTGTTATACTATCAATTCTCAAACTATATACTGTAAATCTTCTTCTGATCTTAGCATGAATAGCTATTCTTCTAACAATAGTTAAAACTGCTAAAACAGACATTTTATGACCTGATTTTTTTTAAAAAAAAGAGAAGCATCCTTATCTGATTTCAGTCTAATTCTAATGTTTCTTCCACTAATCTTACTGAACAATACTTATTATTTAACCTTTCTACAAAAATAAACTTTCTTTTTACAAGTTGATTTGTTTTAGATTTATTAACATAAACTCATAACAAATTATTGACCAACTTTAGATTCTTCATACTCAAACTACAAAACTCACTTGGACATCTTATCATTCTTACTTCTAATACTACTAATACAAAATCTCTAATCTAGTATTAATAAAAACCTTTTTCAGAAAAAAATACTAAATAATGCTTTATAGTCTTAACTGGCAATGAATCTCTAGGCCAATCCATCTTTGCACCCATATCTTTATACTACTAACTAAATACTGAACTGTACTGTTTCTAGTTAGATTTGGTAAGCCTTTTAATCTATGCAATTTAGAAATTGCTATTAAGCAACATTCTATCTCTAAACTATGACTTGCTATTTTCAGCTAAGCTATGAATATTATTATCAATATATATGAGGCTGAGCAAAAGCCATATTGTATCCTACTTGTAAAATTTTAAAAACCAACCATGCTCTCTTTAACTTTCTTATATATGATTCACTAATTACATTTTTCACTAAAAATTTTGTTTGCTCTAGAAATTTGTATGCCAGTCTATATAAATATTTTTTAAATGCTAATTCCAATTGTTATGTGGTTCCAAATATACTAAGAGACCTAGCAAGATAATTTCTGCTTGTAAAGAGAGGTTCATTTTTTTCTTCTGGGCATTTATTATAATTGGCTACTATAGGGTCACCACCCATATCAGAATAATGATCACTATAAGGCTTTGCACTTCTTTATATAAATTAACACTCAATAAAACATTACAAACAGTAGTACAAATAGTTTATTATGCCTTTTGAGTCTTGAGTAAAGCAGTTGACTGCTTCCAATCTGAGACAAAAGTGCAGACTATTGAATCTTACCAACTTTGTATTCAAATAGTCTGCAAATTGAACTTTCACAAACAAGCTTTTAATTCTTTTATTATTTTTGTTTTGATAGACCAGTCTTCTAAGTCTTTTATTTTGAAAAATACATTAGCTAAATTTCTTTTACTAGGAACCCATAATATTTGAAAGTTTCTACATCATTCTTTAAACACAGCCTCTATATTTCAAACACAATATTCTTATGCCAATCCAGTAGGCCTCCTCTTAATACTACTTTGTTGTTTATCATTAACATTATAAATGAATTAGCCAAAAGGTCTCCAAATGTCTGAAGAACTACAGAACAGCAATTGATTTATTAAGTTTACTAAAAGCCTATAGGGCTAACATTCTTTTGCTATGCATTTATCGAACACCTCACACCAACCTGTTAATAAAACATCTACCTAAATTACCTTCATCTTTAAAGGTTTCCAAGTGGGATGACCATTTTAAGCTCTTAAGTTTTTTACTAACCACTTCATGTCTTCTATTGCTTGCAGAATCAACCTTACCATCTTGTCTTACTTGTTTTACAAATGATTTTTCATATCTATCAACTTGTAAAACTCCAAACTCTTTATCTTTGCTAGTGCAAACACTCTTGATAAGCTTTGAATTTTTCTGCAATTGATATTAATTCTCTTACTAGAACTATGGTTTCTTTAGCACTTTTTTTAGCTGATTTATTACTACAATAATCTTTTTCTCTGAAGTAATAACTAAGTTGTTTACTAAGTTAATAACTAGGTTACTAAATTTGGAGTTTTGAGTCAGCTTCCAATTGCTCTTTTCTTCTATATGAATTCAATCACAGCCTTTTAAGTCTGTCATTATAACCTTCTTCTGCTGCTTTAAAAGTACCTCTTTTGACAGATGTGTTATCAACACATCATCCAGATATTTTCACAAAATATTCCTTAATCTTTTTAACTTTTTACTATAGCTTTTATTATTTTTGCAATTATCCAAAGTGACTGACTTAGACCAAAAGTAAGAACTTTGTAAAAGTACTACTTTTTGTTTACAACAAAGCTGAGAAACCTTTGTGCAACATTGTTTATTATTACATAATGGTAACTCTCCTTCAAGTTAAAAGTTATGACTTACCAAGCATTTCTACTGTTTATAAAGATAATCTTAAATCTTTGAACTTAAAGAACTTCTTTAGAAGCATTTTATTCAACCTTCTGAGGTCTATCACCAATTTGAACTTCTTTTTTCTTTGCTTTAGAACAAGAAAAACTAAGCTCACTTTTAACAAGAACTTTGGCCTCATAACACTCTTTTCCAAATAACCTTCTGCCTCTGTTTCAGTTAAATGATTCAACTTTTGCTCTATTTACAAGTTTTCTTCTATTGTAAACTGTCTGAATTTGGCACCCATTGTCCTATCAATTTTATAACCCCTTTTGGAAATAAAGAAATTTTTCTTTCTAACAAACTTATAACAATTAGAACTGGCTCTATAACCTGCTTTTAATACTGAACTGCTGTAGCTGAATGCAACCTTTCTGCTACATAATACTTGCTCACTTGAATGATACTTCTCTCTGATACCACATTCTGAGCATAGTTAACTTCTTTTTACTTTGAACCATCTGCATAAAAGGGCATGTTCAAGTGCTTTTTTAAACTATACTCATTTGCATAATGCTCTTTATCTTTATATAAAAAACATATTACATCTCTAGATCCAATTTTACTATTATTACTAAAATTACTAGCTAATAACTGAAACCTTCTGAGATTAGACTGCAATTGTGAATTATGTACTAAACTACAAGACAAGCTATTTAAAGAAACTTGTTAGTTTGAAAAATTTTTATTAGTTCAATCCTGAGAATCAGACTCATTTCTACTGACCTTCAAAACTAACAGAATCAGAACCCACTAACTGAAAAGGTGATTGATGCCACATTGGTTGTACAAATGGACAAGGCTAAACCAAAATAGGTAAGACAGACTGTACTCTTTAAAAAAACAGAATTTGTACTTTTTGCTTATTTTGAAACTTATTTTTAATAAAACTTTGGTCTTGCACCACTTTAGGTCTTTTATTTTTAGTAAGTAAAAAACATTATGCAGTCAGTTTGGCTTTTTCTTATCTATCACCAAACAATTCAGCTATATAATTATTGTTATTAGAGGCTATCTTTGCTGCCACATTCCAACTATCTTTATCAGCAATCATAATTACATAAGCTCTCTCAAGTGTAATCAGTCTTGCCAAATAAACAAACTCTATATTATTTGATAGCAAGGCCTTATCCAAAAGCAAACCAGCTTTGTATCATTTATTATACTACTACTAATTTCTAGCTTTCAAAAGTTCACATTTCTTCCAAACACTTTCATTTATCTTGTAAAACTTTGAAACTTTATTAGAAAACTAAAAAGTCTGCTAAAACTTGTTATTACCTAACATATTTGATACAAACCTTTTTTTATTAGGCCTAACATCAATTAGGCTACTAGCTGCACTAGCACCAGCTCAAAAAATAATGAACTAGCACTACCAACATAGCTGCAGTTGCATTCTTACTAGCAAAAGACACATTTTTCTTCTCAATATTAGCCTTTTCAGAAACTTCTCTTTTTTTATTCTTACTAACCAAATGATTTATCAAATCCTGTTTGGAACCTGCTTCAGAAATCTTCAACTTGTAATACAAAAACCTTAAAACATCTACCAACATATAGCCAAAATTGGCTTCAAAATTAGCCTGTATATTTTTTTGCACTACAACACAATTACTACTAAATAAAATTGCATGTTTATCAGGAATTTTGTAATCAACATTTTGTACCTGTTTTTTCTTATTAAGATTTTCTTTATTAACATTCATTTTACTAGAATTTTGCTTGACAAACAGACTAAAAAATCATATACACAAAAAAAATAGTTACTTTTAACTTTATTCATTACAATACTTAAATACTAAAATCAAATAAACTTAAATATGTTAATATACTACTCTAATTTACTAATTGCAATAATTATCTTATAATTACATTGATTAAATACCAAATGCAATTATTATTATATAATTACTAGAATAGTTTATTACTAATATGATTAATATACTAAGCTACATTATTTTATAACTGTAATAAAACATATTACATGCCTTGTTATAATCTAATTTGAGACAAAAGCTGCCTTAATACCATTGTATCAAGCAGCTATAAATCCTTAATTTTTGATCAATCAAGTATAGTATTATGGTCTAAACTGAAACTTTCAGCAGCCAAAACTTTCAAAACTTCTGAAACATAGTTTTATTCAAAGTGCCAAGTCTGAAATGTCTGAAACTAAACAAAATATCTAAAACTAGGTGAAATATCTAATACTGTATAAAACTGTGCAAAACTAAATGAAACTAGGTAAAACTAGACAAAACTAGGTAAAACTAGATAAAGCTTGATTTTATCTCTATCAAAATTAATATAACATATAATGCAAACTTTAATACAATGCAAATAATCTATAAACATATACTAGATCATATAATTTTTATATACCTTTATTACATGAATTTATACTTTATTATAAATTGCCTTTATCTATTCTGATATTAGAAGTTCATATAATAACTATTGTCATACTTACTTTTAATATATATTTCTTTATTAGATCTCACTATTACTACTGCTATTTTTTTTTTTTTATTCTTTGACAGTCTTGTCGGAGCTCAGATACAAAATTTTACTATTTGAAACATTAACTATTTC